TACACGAGATGAAGAAGGTAGATTCATTGTTAAATTACCTTTCGACAAGGAAGATCCAGAGTGTCAGTACGGGAAAACAGTGGCTATAGCAACAAGAAGATGGGAGTTTTTAGAGAAGAAACTACAAAAGAATCCTTCATTAAATGAAGAATATCATAAGGTTTTAGGTGAATACATCTCAATGAATCATATGGAGTCGATCAAAGAAGAGGATATAAATAACCCTAAGGCAGTTTATTTACCACACCATCCTGTAGTCAGAGCGGATAAGGATACTACTAAAGTACGTGTAGTTTTTGACGGTTCTTGCAAAGGAGTTAATAATTTTTCTCTCAATGACAACCTTTTGGTTGGTCCAAAATTACAACAGGACTTAAGACATATACTCATGAGGTGGCGAAAACATAGGATTTGTATCGTTGCAGACATCGTGAAGATGTATAGAATGGTACGAGTATCTAATGAAGATACAGAATACCAAAGAATCGTGTGGAGACCACAAATCAATAAACCACTTCAGCATTACAAGCTTTTACGATTAACCTTTGGTACAGCATGCGCACCATATTTAGCCATCAAGACAGTTCAAAAATTAGCAGATGTAGAACAATCTAGATTTCCTATAGCAGCTGAAATAGCAAAGAGAGACTACTACGTTGACGACTTAATGACAGGATCTGACACTTTAGAACAAGCTATAACTATCTATAATGACATGAATAACTTAATGAGTTGTGGAGGGTTCAATCTCCAGAAATGGAGTAGTAATAATCGTGATTTACTGAGATACATTGGAAAGAATAAACAAACAAGTAACGATTCATTAAGAATAAAAACATCTACTGTCATGAAAGTCCTTGGTTTGGTGTGGAATAGAGACACCGATGCTTTTCAATTTACACTTGATATTTCAGACTCTAAACAATCTATCACTAAAAGACAAGTTTTATCGGATGTATCGCGATTATACGATCCTTTAGGATGGATTGCGCCTATTGTTATCATAGCAAAAATATTTATGCAGAAATTATGGAAGTCAAAAATTGATTGGGATGATAAATTACCAACAAATTTATATGAGGAATGGTTACATTTTCAAACGAGTTTAGTACATTTGAATAAGATTAACATTCCAAGATGGTTGTATTTCAGTCCTGGATCAAAAGTGGAACTTCATGCATTTGCCGATGCTTCTAAGCTCGCCTACGGTGCGGCAGTATACATTCGTCTAATTAATAGTGAAGGCAAAATATATGTCAGCTTAATATCCGCTAAAGGTAAAGTTGCCCCTATAGAGAAGGAATTATCTATTCCAAGGCTTGAATTATGCGGTGCAGTTTTAGCAGCAAAACTACTCTTTGAAACAGCACAAGTGCTAGACATTCCAAAAGAGAATTTACATGCGTGGTCAGACTCTACAATAGTGTTAGCATGGCTAAAAGGTGGTTCAAGCCGTTGGAGTACCTTTGTGAGTAATCGAGTGTCCGAAATTCTAAATATTTTGGACTATGAACAATGGAACCATGTTGTAACAAATATGAATCCAGCTGACTGTGTTTCAAGAGGCCTGTCTGCAGAAAAATTACAACAACATTCACTGTGGTGGTCAGGACCTTCTTATCTTTTACAACCAACAATAGCATATAATAATTTCGAAATATTTCAAGATACTCATGAAGAAGAAAGACATATAGCTCTAACAGCGCTAACAGAAGTAAAAAATGAATTTATATGGACAATGTTTTCATCATTAAACAAAACGTTAAAAGTTGTATCTTACTGGAGAAGAGTTCTACAAAATTTAAGGTTACCAAAAGAAAAACGAATACAATATTCGAAGGTAGTTTCACCTGCAGAAATCAATCAAAGTTTACTAATATGTATTAAACAAGTTCAAAAAGACAATTTTAGTGAAGAAATTAAACAATTACAGACACAGAAATTGGTCCCTAAGAAAAGTAAACTCAGCACTTTTTGGCCCATTTTAGATGAAAATTGTGTACTAAGAGTTGGTGGTCGTATTGAGCAGTCAAAGGTTAAATATGACACTAAACATCCCATAATTATGCCTGCTAAGAGTCATCTTACCAAGCTGATAATTGGTGATGCTCATCTCAAGACCTTTCATGGTGGACCACAGGCTATGCTTTGTTATTTACGAACAAAGTATTGGATACTACGAGCTAAAGATTTAGTAAAACGTCATTATAAGGCGTGTGTTAGATGTATAAGATACTCAAAAATCAGAAACATTCAATTAATGGGTCAAATCCCAGAAGCAAGGTCAAAACCTACTAGACCTTTTAAATCATCTGGCTGTGACTACATGGGACCTATTAATGTGAGATTTTCGCCTGGTAGAGGATCCAAATCCTACAAAGGATATATTTGTTTATTTATATGTTTAGTAACTAGAGCAATTCATTTAGAGGTGGTGACAGATTTGACTTCTAAGGCATTCATTGCAGCTTTTAAGCGGTTTACAGCAAGACGAGGTCATTGTGAGAACTTATTTAGTGACAACGGCACGAATTTTGTCGGCGCTAACAAACAGCTACGTGAGATGTTCGATCGAGCTAAATCAAATGTACCCCGTGAAATTGAAGACCTATTGAGTTTAGAGCACACAACATGGCACTTTATACCCCCACATGCACCTAATTTTGGCGGTCTCTGGGAAGCTGGCGTTCGTAGCGTTAAACATCATTTACACAGAGTAGTCGGCGATACTACTCTCACCTACGAGGAGTTAGCTACGGTCTTATCCCAGGTTGAAGCCTGTCTCAATTCGAGACCACTTACAGTTATGAGTGATGATCCTAGTGAGCCTCAGGCTTTAACTCCTGGTCATTTTTTAATAGGCGAACCCTTAATAGGTATCCCCGACGATGATTACTCTAACAGTAATATTACAGGGCTAGATAGATGGAGATTAACACAAAAAATCGTAAATAACTTTTGGAAACGGTGGTATAAAGAGTATTTAGTTACCCTTAATCAACGATATAAGTGGAAAACTAAGCAATCTGAGCCTGAGGTAGGTGACGTAGTCCTTGTAAGAGAAGACAATATGCCACCTGCTAAATGGATAATGGGTAGAATTGTCAAAAAATATTATGGACCTGATAATCTATCTCGAGTAGTGTCTATTAAATGTAAAAATGGTGAAATTAAACGTCCTATGAGCAAAATTTGTATGTTACCAAAATAAATTCGTTTACTTGTTTAAATCACTGTTCTCACTATAATGTTATGTATAAGCTATCTATTTGATTGCAACATTAGTTAATAAGAGATATTGTTAAGTTTGTAACATTTATTTTGTTTTCTTTACTTTGTAACATGAGTATAGTATTATCTTTTGTTTACTTGATATATTAAAGTACTGCGTCCTTTGGTAGGCGGTATGTCTAAATATCATACTTTTGTTTTGAAATAAAATAGCAACACTTACACACTCACAAACATACTGTACTCACACATTCATACAGTCCACAAGTTCTATTCACTGTTAAGTATTACTTTTAGTACAAATAAACTATCGTATCTGTGAAGACGTATTGCAAGTGTTTTATTCACCAGCTAATAGATAAAGACCTTATTCAATCAAACAAGTATGGTACATAAAAATATCAGACATGTAATGTACAAAGGGGGGCCTTATTGCTAAGAGCAATCTCTTCTAGGCAACCTTAAGATGAATTAAAATGTTTTGGAGAGACAGTAGTATTACTAATAAACATAAAAGTGGTAAAATTTTATAAATATTTACACATAAAACACAAATACAATATACATACATATATTTATAGATACATAACTAATTAAGAATATCACAAAAAAGAAAAGGAACATTTTTATCATGCATTAACCCGTAATTGACTTAATCAAGATACATAAAATTCTTGAACCATTTTCTTAAAGCTGTTTATCGTCTGCGCTCCCCTGATGTTTATCGGCAATGAACTCTACAAGCGTATAGCTTTAACAGTAAAATAATGGTCATAAAATTTTGTGGAATGCAGAGGCATCTCCAGGCTCAAACTCTTGGATGACCTCAGACAGTTTTCATGCGTGTCATTGAGGAACTTAAACCGTTATTTGAGGTAGAAGGGGCTCTAGGATTGAACAAGATGTTATAAAGAAAAGTGAGGTTATAAGTATTCCGGCGAGAGCGAAGCTAACGCTACTTGAGCTTTTAACGGAATTCAGAAACGTGATCATATTTTCTAAACCCAAACAAAAATCTTATTCAGAGATTTTGAAGTCGCTCAAACTTATCAAGTTGTGCTTCAGTTAGATTCAAATAGCTGACATCTTCATAGTCGAGAATTGGGATGAGAAATGCTTGTGCAAGTGCAGCCCTAGTGGCAGTTGGAAGAAAGTTTCGTAGTCTTCGCAGGGACCCGCCAGAAACAAACAACTTACGACTGACTTTTTGTATATGTGGACCCCAAGATAAATTGTTATCTATATACATAGATACCTAATTTTTTTACTACTACAACCTCCTTTCTAAAGAAAGGCCTATATCCAACATAAGGCCTATATCCAACAGTAAAACTAGTAAAGGCTCTGATGATGTAAATATTGTAGTCTGTTAACTGTTAATCGGCTGATGTTGATGTGTACCTACATAAAAAAAGAAACATATTCTTTGGCGACACAACGAATTAACATCGAAGTGAATTTCTAGTGCAACTAACGAGTAATATAGTGATTTCTTGTGTGTAATGGTGAGTGTGTACAGTGCAATAAAAGTAATTAACCGACTACTTTTATTTATTATATACCCCGCTTGTAACACTACACTATCGAATCGGCTTGTAATACAAGCCGATTCGATAGTGTAGTATATAATTCTTGTATTCTCGGGGTTTAAATTAATCTAACCCTGATAACACGCGAGCAGGTCGCGTGTTATGTTCGGCTAAATTGGAAGTAGAGGCGCTTGAGCCGCCCCGTCAACGTTACCTGACCGTATGTGTTGCTTGTTCCAGGCTCAGTACTACGGGCCGATCTCGATCGGCAACCCGCCGCAGACGTTCAAGGTGGTGTTCGACACGGGCTCCTCCAACCTGTGGGTGCCTTCCAAGAAGTGCCACTACACCAACATCGCTTGCCGTTAGTCCATTATTTTTGTCTGCCATCGACGATTGGAATATGATATATACGATAGATATTGGGAAATGGGACCAATGCTCCATTTTCGCATCTCTTAGTTAAACAAATGAAAGTGTATTTTTCCAATGTTGCCGTACTGCGCTAGAAAAGTATCCGAACGTGTACACTTGTTCACTGACTGTTGACTGTGCCATGTTGCAGTGTTGCACAACAAGTACGACAGCTCCAAGTCGCGCTCGTACCGCCCCAACGGCACCGAGTTCGCCATCCACTACGGCTCCGGCAGCCTCTCTGGCTTCCTCTCCACGGACGACGTCTCCGTGAGTACCGCTTCCGCCAGTCTCACTTGCTCGACAGTGTGGAACCAGAGCTTTAGACTTCCTTCTAATTTGAACGACGTTATCTAATTTTTAAGTAATAATATATTTATAAAGTAAAATTGAAATACCTGGGTCATATTCTAACCGATGAGCTCAGAGACGACGAGGACATAGAGAGAGAGCGGTGAGAAGCAACATGCTCGCTCGCAGTTTTGCTCGATGTACAGAAGTTAAGATAACGCTATTTAAAGCATTTTGCCAATTTTTCTTCTCGACGCGCCTATGGGTAAGGTATACGCGACGATCCCGACACCCTGCGTATTCAGTATAACAATGCTTTCCGAATGTGGTTGGGACTACCGCGACGCCGTAGCGTCTCCGGAATGTTTGCCGAAATGCAAACTGACGGGTTCAAGGCGATAATTCATAAAAAAATTAGCTTCCATTTTGCAGCGTCTGCGGAACGCCAACAACAGCATTCTGAAAGTATAATATAAAAATAAATTAAATGTAATGATACTAATAATACTAACTTAATTATAAGCAAATTGTTTCTAATACGCTAACACTATGCATCTCTATGCTCTGACATAAATTATTATTATCATGAAGTAAATTTAATATTATTTTTAATTTCGAGCAAATTACTACTTTAATCAACATCAGCTAACTCGATAAACTTAAACTTGAGTAGAGATGCAGACTTGAGACGGCACTCACGTGTGCATTTCGGAGATGTCGTCTAGTTCCGGGCTCGAAGGGCCCTCTGTCAGTTTTATACGTACTATCGCTAGACATACTACGTGTGGTACAAACAGGAACTCAGTTTTGCATGTAACCTCGTTACCACCAGCTCCAGGTGACCTCGTGTGAGTTTATTTCACATCAACTTGACCATCACGGTACTCGCGTCGCAATGACGTGTGAGACCGCTTTTTGAATTCCATCGATACTAAAGGCTTTGCTCGTACCGGCAGGTGGGAGGTATCACGGTGAAGGATCAAACATTCGCCGAGGCTTTGTCGGAGCCGGGACTGGCCTTCGTGGCCGCTAAGTTCGATGGCATCCTCGGAATGGGCTTCCGCAGGTATTGACAACACACTATATATGTGTGTGTCTATAAATTCAATTATTGTTTTTAATTGTTAGATGCACCGAGGACATCATAATATAAGTATATGACTCGTATTTATTAAACTACACTTTACGTTTACGAAAGTTTGTGGTACCTTTAATGGACATCTATAACATGGTTATAACTACTTCGAGTATACGCGTGACTCTTAATAGGACGGTGTCATGGAATAGCATTAAATAAGCTGTGAGTTTTAACGAAAAATAAGTGATCAGCACTACTTGCCATAGTGAAGTTATATGAAATGTGTTTCAGAGGAACAAGATGGTAACCCTCGACCTACCGGTGGCAAGGAAATTTGCCTATTTGATTCCGTGTGTTAGTATGTAAATCTTTGCCAAGCCCGCAATGTCGGGATGTAGTAGAAATCTGTCGCGTGTATTGTAACAGTAGAGTAATGCGCTCTGGTTGTGTGTTGTGCAGCATCTCGGTGGACAACGTGCCGCCGGTGTTCGACAACATGGTGGCGCAGGGACTCGTCAAGCCCGTCTTCTCCTTCTATCTCAACAGGTAACCGTACAACTAACTCGCTTATGTTATTGGGTACGCTGTTTGTTCAGTGTGATGTGTTGTACTTTTTAATTAATAAAAAATAATAACAATTAGTCGCCAACAAGAATTCTACAAAATAAACAGGAAGAAATGAGCAGCCCGCTGTTTGTTTAGGTAGTTGTCATCATGTTTAGGTTGGTGTTTATTTGTATAAAATTATAATGCTGAACCATTATCTTAAATGTAAAACAATTAGCGCTATAATTAATATAATTAGATTATAAATGTTATATAAACATACTGTACAAAGGTTATTAGTCTAATATTATCTTTTTTGTAGGATAGGACAAATCACACCACGTGTTGTTGTGTAAAACAAAGGGCTTTATTTTAAACTTTCACATCACATACAGCTCAGTAACATTAACCATACTATTGCAACGTAACAAAGATTACCTGTAAAACAGAGAAACGACGATATTTTAAGTTTATTTGTCGTTTTTTTTTTTGGAACTCAACAAATTATAATTTTCTACTTATTTGCAACAAGATAATCACTGTCAATGTCAGGTACCAAAAATACCCCCTCCGATAGACGATACCTTCTATCGACTAAGCCAAGGTAATAGTTACTAATTACAATTATTTAAAATAACATAAAAGAATCCTTGGCATTCAATGTATATTGTGTCAGGAGGTGGTACAGCGTTCTCAGATAATACAACAAGAGAAAAGAGAAGAGGTAGCCTTTTATTGCTTTTTTAACATATGAGTATGAACCAATAAGTGAGTTAACGCTGGGCGCGTGTGGTTTATCATTACCGTTGGCGTCGGTCAGGGACCCCAGCGCGGCGCAGGGCGGGGAGATCATCCTGGGCGGGTCCGACCCGGCGCACTACCGCGGCAACTTCACCTACGTGCCCGTCAACCGCGCCACCTACTGGCAGTTCCACATGGACACCATCGACGCCAAGGGCATCAGCTTCTGCCGACAGGTCTCTACGCCACCGCTCGCACTTAGCGCTTTACTACTGTCGACCTATTCATTATAATTATGGGAATGTTTCACCATACGAGGGCTGCTATGTATGTATTCGGAACAACAAAGTGACACAAACATATAGCATTTATTATAGTTTATTGGTTTTCGAAATATTCGCCGTGATGATGATGATGCGCTTTTGCATACGTTGAAAACTATTTTCGTAGCACCTTTTCCATTCTGATTGTGGTATCTCCAAAACGTGCATTTTGAACGCATCAACAGCTTCTTCACGGCTCGAAAAACGTTGACCACGTAATTTATTCTTCACGGTTGCGAATAAATAGAAGTCGTTGGGGGCCAAGTCAGGTCTGTACGGCGGATAACCCTTTAATTCGATCTTTTGATCTTCAAATACGACGATAGATGCACTGTTTTTGAGTGAGCCCTCGCCAAAAATCGTAATAAATCATAGCACGAAAGTCCATAGTGATAAAGACACGCAATTTCAAAATGAGGCCACAAAAGATAAACAGATGACAGCTACATAATACAAATTGTATTCTTTAGCTAAAGAGTTCCGTTTTTAAAAGTTATAATTATTTTTTTTATATTGTTCTGTAACTGACCAGTTCCAGATACATAAATAGCAGCTCGCGTACCTATTTTGATCACATTCATGTGGATATTGAAACGTCGCACTGACAAACAATATTTAAGTTTTAGTTTGGAAAAGAACATTAATTTCTCAAAATTAAGAAAACTAGAAGTCGATTCAGGCACATATAAAAGTAGTTAGACTGAATTTTTAAATGTAACATATAATTATATATAATCATAACGTAAAATATCCGTGTGGTGACGGATTAAGAATACGGCGTGTCACCACCCCTATTCATCGCTTGGGTGTCGTAAGAGCCGACTAAGGGAGCAACAGCATTGAAAAAACTAAAGCAACCTGTCTGACCAGCTTGGTATAGTAGGCCAAATCCTACTTTCTAAGGAGAGGCCTACGTCCAGCAGTGGACTATTCAAGGCTGTAGATGTGATGTGATAACATATCATTGTGTATTTACGCTCTTAAATTCAACAGAAGTATAGCTGTGAAGCACTATTGAATATAATACCAGATTTTTCATCCTTTTTTTCTCATATTTGTTATATATATTTTATGTTACAAATACAAGCCGTGCATTTTAGTTTTAAGAAAGTAACCTATACGTTATGTGCGGTCAGGGCTGCGAGGCGATCGCGGACACGGGCACGTCTCTGATCGCGGGCCCGTCGAGCGAGGTGGAGGCGCTGAACCGCGCGCTGGGCGCCACGCCCATGGCGTTCGGCCAGTACGCGCTGGACTGCGCGCTCATCCCGCGCCTGCCGCCCGTCTCCTTCGCCATCGGCGGCCAGCGCTTCACGCTCGACGGACAGGACTACGTGCTGCGCGTACGTGCCGCTGGCTCTCTCCTCCTCCTCCTCTTGTGTGGGACCTCGTCGATCTCATTGGTCCTTAAAGACGGTTCTTAAGTCTCCTTGCAAACGAGTCGACGAAACGCCACGCACTCGCTCTTCGGTCAGAACTGTGGTCTCCAAAATGCTTCTAGTACCGATGAGGTCGGGGCCCACTGCCGCCCTCTACTGAAGAAGTGTGAACGGTTTTCGTCGATATAAAGTACCGTGGTCTTCACGGCTACTTCCACAGAGATAACTCGAAACGTCGATTGCCGGCCTACACGACACCTACCGAAGGGGTCGTACAGATGATAACCTGAATTCGCTATTACAATTTTCGAAACCGTACACAGTATCATAACTATAATCCCTTATCCGCGCTTGGATTCCGCTTCCACTTGAATTGCAACATTTAATTGGTAAATATTTGTTGTCTTCCTCGTGGTATGACTCTACGACGATAAGGTTCACCGAAATTTGATCGTCTAACTACAATTATAAAGCACATCTGTTTTGAGCACATCCGATTTATTGGTGTTTTTATTGCGTACACTACCACATCTAGAATAAAAGAGAACATAACCGCATTCGTCCGTTTCGACCCATCTCGTATCGACGAAATCGGTAACTTTAGTGTAGGCTGTACTGTATAACTGTGTGTACGAAGCGTCTGTTGTCGTGTGCAGGTGACGCAGTTCGGCAAGACGGTGTGCCTGTCGGGCTTCATGGGGCTGGACATCCCCCCGCCCAACGGCCCGCTGTGGATCCTCGGGGACGTGTTCATCGGCAAGTACTACACCGAGTTCGACGTCGAGAACAAGCGCCTCGGCTTCGCGCCCGCCGCATAGGCCCCCACCCCCCCCACCCCCCTCTCCGCTAAACGTACCGCGCAGCTGAACGTCGCTAGACATGTTTCGTGTTTCCATTGTCTGCCGGTAGACGTTCGTACGTGTACTCGTTCTAATGAAAGATAAGTAATGGTCGTTCGCCGCCATAATCACGAGGCGATCGACGCTACCTAGTTTTGTTTAGTAAGTTCCTTAATGTAACGGACCAAAGTCAATGCTCTGCGTCAGTTGTAGACATGATCTGCGATAAATCAGTTAAAATATCACTTGCTGTGTTGACTTTTTTTTTTACGATGTACTTTGCAAATAAATATTGTTATAAACAGTGTTGTTTTTCTTTATAACGTTTATAAAACAATAATAACGAATTATAATTTTTTTTTTTTTTTTTTTGTTTTTTTTTTTACGTTATATTATATTTACACTAGTTTTGACTTACAATCGAACATATTTAGTTACTTGTGTTGCTAGGCGGCGGTGCTCAGTTTCCATCAGGTGACCCCTTTACACGTTTTCCCTCTGTATCGTAAAAAGAACTTAAACTGTGGTAGATTGTTACAGAGCATATCACAGAATATTAGCACCAACTACATTATTTAACAATTTTCAAATAGCTTTCAATGAAATTGCCGCACTGAACCAAGATCATGTTAGTCGAGTGGTCACAAATAACAACAGACGAGGCAAAGTGACCGGTAACAACTGCCCCTAAGGCGGTGATCGTGTTAATTAGGTACATTACAATTCAAAGTCACGTGTACTGTATCTTCCTGGTGTGCCATCGGTGTCTATCGAGCGTGTACTACATCTGAGTATAGGCCGACGTTGTATCACTTGTCGTTAACAAGAGCCAAGCTGTAAAACAATGGCAGTACCGAATTTGCCCACATCTTCACTTGATCTGAAAAAAAAGGTTGTTAACCATCCTTGGACGCATCATACAAAATTCCAACGGTCCTTTAAATCCAGAGTATATTGCTGTTTATAAAGTTGGCCAAACTATATCAGGTTAATTGGGTGAACTTTTATTCCAAAAGCTCTTTGTAATGGAGATGCGCTCCGTTACTGACAGACAGAATTGTTATTTGATTATTGTATTGAAGTTTCTGTAAATAATAGGTCTTTACCTATGAAATTGCCGTTTTGTATGCAATAAGTGGTTGCAGATGTGACCACCAGACCTTGCACCTACCGACTATTACTTTTTCCAAAATTTAGACAACTTTTTAGTGGGTAAAAAATTCAATTCCCGAGAGGCAGTACAAAAGTTTGAAGAGTTTGTTGCCTCCCGTCCAGCTGATTTTTACAAGAAGGGCATCAATAAACTGCCAATGCGTTGGCAAAGATGCGTCGATTGCATGGGTGATTACTTCGAATAAAAGAAATAAAAAAGTTTGAAAAATAAGTACTTTCACTTATTGCATACAAAACGGCAATTTCATAGGTAAAGACCTATCATAAGGAGGACAACGGTATGTGGTTTGTAAAAAGGTGTGCGAAAGTGAAAAAGTCAAAAATATTTATTAGTGACTCGTAAACAAATATAGTACACAGGAATGGTACAATCCAATGGAAACAATATTGCATCAATTTCATAATTAAATACTATTTATTTAAATAAAAGTTTAAGTAAAATAGATCGTCCATACATAAATTATAATTACAATATTCTGATAGAACATCTGATGTACAAGTCGGGCCGGGCACTGCTCACTCGCGCTATCTAACATATATAACTACACTATGTATAACAACTAGCTCCACTACACTAGTCCCAGTTTATGTTTTTTTCTAAACTTTTTGACGTAAGCTTCGACGAGCGCCTGGATCTTGGACGGGTTGATCTCTCCCGTCTTGTTGTGACAGATCTGGAACAAACACGAGGACTCACTAGCGCGTCACAACGTAATAAACTCTGGTGCCTATCGTGAAAGGTTGCCAGCGTGAAGAAAGGACAAAAAAATGTAGCGATGTAACTTGGCCACACTTAAATATTTTTTTCTTCCTATTACACTAATTGCTGAATTCAAGGAACACCCATCTGCCATGATTCTGTGCGGTTATATATTACTACGGTTGGCACTGTATGGGGTAGAGAAGAAGTGTACCTTGGGTACGGTGCGGCGCAGGATCTCTTTGTACTCATCCTTGGTGACGTGCTTCTTGTTGTAGTGCGGCTTCAACACCAGCTTCACCTCCTCCACCACGCGCTCTTGCCGGTTCAGCTTCTTCAGAAACTGTAACAGTAGGGACGTTCGACCATTTTAATTTGTCTTCACGGAACTATGTACGTAATAGGAATCGATTTATCCGGTTAACGTTACAATTTTTTGAAAATCGAATCCATACGTTAGACACGGACCGTCAGCGAGTCGACTACTAGTAGTCGACTATATCTAGAAATAGGCGAATATATCTAGATATACATATATTATAGTTTAGTATATATTAGTTCGCTCACTTTGCTCTTGACTTGCATTTCGACGGCGGAACTGGGCAAGTCGTCCAGTATCTTAAGGTTGTCTTCGTCGATCTTCACGCCCACTTGCGTTTTACCTGTAATATCGGTAGGCACGTTATTTATTTCGAAGCGAAAAGTTAAAATTTAAACGAGTGCGCGAAATTTAGTTTTCAAAGTAGACGAGGCCCGGGGACGGGCGCGGCGAGTTCGGCGAGGACGATAACGATCGTGAGAAATAAATAAAGCGAGCGGCTCGGGTACCTTTCTTCCTGTTGAGCTTGACGGGCACCTTGGCGGCGGCCGAGCGCGGCTTGCGCGAGCGCGGCGGCCGCTCCAGCACCGCGTCGAAGGCGTCGCGGCCCCCGCCCGGCGGCTCGAACAGGTCGCCGAAGTCGCTGGAGCCCGGCGAGTAGGGCGAGTCGCCGCCCAGCTCCGAGTCGCCGCGCCGAGCCGCCGGCGGCGCCGGCCGCGCGATCTTGGCCGCCGGCATGGGCTTGATGGGGTCCGACTTGATCGGCGACGGCTTCGCGAGGAACAGCTTCGGGGCCGCCGCGCGCGTCGGCGACGGCAGCACGATCCGCACCGGGGGGCCGCTGGGCGGGGCCGCCGGGGCGGGCGCCGGGGCCGGGGCCGGGGTCGCCTCGCTCGCCGCGCCCTCCACCCCCGCCGCCTCGCCCGGGGGCGGGTCGTCGGGCGGCACGTCGCGCGTGGACTGCAGCAGCGCCATGACCTGCGACACGCTCTCCGTGTGAGTCACTGCGCAGCGAGGCGGAGGATAGGAGCCCTCCGCCTCGACTTCGTCTGTACTCAATAATCAGTGCACCCTGCTGAATAATATTCGCTTCTACCTTCCGAGTATTCGAGATCACTACTACGGTACAGTATTACAGTGTTTGTATACAATAAAGTCAGTTACGCTACAAAAACGAACTCATTAAATATTTTGATAGATGCATACGAATTTACAATGTATTTAAAAAAAAACACGAACCCAAAACACATTTTCCAGGATATCAAATTAAAAATACAAATTCGATCTGACTGACCGGCTAATTCATTAAGGCAGGGCCTAACCCACTGGGGTTACAAACTTTTAGGCTTTTTATGTTGTAAGTGTGCACTAAAAAAGGATGTTTAGAGATTTCACCCCTAAGGGCCTAAAATAAAAGATCAGTGGTCCTATGGAAGTTCGTCATTTTCAAAGTTAGTGTAGTTTCCCTAACATTATGATAGGTTGCTAGTTTGATAAACGAGTAGACAACTTTACCGAACGATGATTTTATTGCTACTAAATTATGTACAAAAATCAGTCAGTGCCAATGCAATACGAGTGCAATACAAATGCAATGAATGAACGCAAGCTAATTTCGTTAACTACTACAAGTGGGCGGGTTCGCTCGTACAGTTAGAAACACGAAATAAGATATAATCACGCGAGCGAAGTCGCGGGTAACAGCTAGTTTGTTATATTTATTTATAAATAAATGTAAGATACGATTCAGATGCGCAAGCAAGGGAAGACGAACACGTTACAAAGGAAAAACTTACCTTTTCGATAGGCGACAGGGGGCGCCGATCGATAACGTCATCGGCGGACAGATTCGTTTTCTGTGCGGCCTCCAGCGTCATCAGCGCTCGAGGGGGGGGAGGCGGCGCCGGCGGAGGCGGGGGAGGCCGACGCCAGACGAGTCGCTCGTAAGGGTCGTACGCGTCCCCGGGGAGTCCGGCGGGTCGGGGGGGCGGGCAACGGCCCCCGAGACTCCTCCGTGCCGTTGGGGGCGGAGCCGCCGGGGGGGCCGCCGGTCGGGCGGCGGGCTTGGGGCCCACCGCGCCGTGCGCGCTCTCCGCCGGCGCGGCCGCCACCGCGGCGGGCCCGCTCGCCTCCCTTGGCAAAGAGGCGTTTCGTCGTCGCTCAGGAGTACGATCACGTTGCGCGGGGACGGGGTCAGCTCGCGGAAGGGCGACCGCTCCAGGGCGATGATGGGGACGGGCTTGGCGGGGCACGGTCTCCGGGTCGGGCGCGGCCGTTCGTCCCGCGCCTCCGTCGCCGCTCTCTGCGGGCCCTTCTCGTCGCTCGTCACCCGAAGCGCGCTCCTGGTCCTTGAAGCTCACGCTCACCAGGATTTGTCGCCCGACGTGAAAACCTCTTTGGAGGGTCCCGCGAGATCTCTCGCGCGACGGTGCGAGCGCGCTCCGGTGTCGCGACGACGACGCGCTCGCGGCGGACGGCTCCGGCGGCTCGGGTCGGGCGGCGGCGTGCGCGGCGACAGCAGGCGCGAGTCCACCCAGCCCGCGCCCGGCGACAGGCGAGCGGCGGGCCGGCCAGCGGGGACGGCGCGCGCGACGGCGTGCGAGACGCGCGGCGAACGCGGCGGCGGCGCGGCGAGCGTCTGCGAGGCGATCGGCCCCCCGGGCCCCGAGCGAGACAGCGCGCGCGTTTCTTCCTTTGCGGTTTGGGCCGCGGCTGCGGGACCCGGGAGGGGTCGCCCCCTACGAGCGCGCCTGGGGTTTTCGACGGGGGGCGGTTGGGGGTTTCCGAGGGATCGCGCCGGCGGCGGGCGCCCGCGCCGGGGACGGGGCCCGGGCGACAGGGAGCGCGGGGAAAGGCTGGGGGGGGTCGCCGCGGGGAGGACGAAGCGGCGGATGCGAGGCGGCTGGACGCGGGGCGAGGAGGTCGGCCCCGGGGGGAGGGGGGGAAGGGGGGCGGGCGGGGAGAGTCGCGGCTGCCGCTCCATCCGGACGCGCCGCGTTGAGCGGTGAATCGCGGCCCAAGGGTCCTTGGGTCGACGGCGCTTCCGATAGAGGTGCGCAGTCGTACCGTGAGATCCTTTCGTCGCTCCTTCCCCCGCTTTTTTGCCCCCGGGCGCCCCCCTCGCTCGAATCTCGTCGTTCCGTTTGTTTTTCTCCCCGGGTTTTTTCCGCCCCCCGATAGTTGCGCTCCTTTCCCGGGGTTTTAACTTTTTAAATGCTATTTCCCCCTTTTTGTCTTGCCCTTTTCCCTTTCCCTCCCTTTCCCTTTCCTTTTTTGAACTTTTTTCTTTTTTTTTTGCCCCTTTCCGTCCCTCTTTTTTCTTTTCGACGATTTCCCCTCCTCAACTCGAACCCGGGGAAGGGGGGAGGCGGGCAAACGCGGTCGGGAAATTTGGGGTTCCGGTTTTCGCTAAAAAAAATTTTTGTTAAACCCCCGTCCTCCGAAAACCCTCTCGGTGTCTAGCCCCTCGATTCCTTCTCTTTTCGGTCTCTAGTGAAGTGTTTTCGATTTGTTTTCGTCGAGGCCTGGAGTGTAACCCTCTCGTCCCCCGGTTTTTGCTGATGGACTCGGTATCTTCTTTGGTTAATGATATCATCGTTCCTTTCGCCGGAGTCCTTTTTTCGGGGGACTTTGGGAATTGGGAGGTTTAAAACAAATTTTTCCCCTTGCCAGATAAGTCAAACATTTTCCCTCCTCGGGGTGGGGTATCGTTTCCCCAAATTTAAATTTTTAGTAGGGGTAGAAACACAAGGTAATTCCTCCCGGTTTATCCTTTCCCAGAGTGATTTTGTCTTTTGTTAAATTTTGGATGTTTTTGGGGGTTTAAAGGGGTCGGGGGGCATCCCCATCGACTTCAGGTCGGTAATCACTTTATCTTTTTTGCCCAAAAATATCACTTTTTTTTTTCTTCGGTGTCAAATTCCCTTTTCCCGGTGTTTGACAATTGGGGGTAGGTTTATTCACGAGGGACATCTTGTTTGTCTTCTATTTCTCTGTAAATTTCCCCCGAGCTTTTTTTAGGGCTAATGAAGGTGGGCCCCTTTTTTGCCTGGGGCAACCGGCCCCCTTTCCCCATCCACTCTTCTTTTCCCATGTACAAATAAACTGTCTTTTTAACAACGATGGGTTTTTGAGTTTTATTTTTTTTTGGGTTTCGAGGGTTAGTGGTAATGGGCATCCCTTTTCCCCCTTTTTCCCTTTTGTTTCCTCTTCCCAATTTTTTTTTCAGGAAACTTTTGGTTTTTCTAGCCCATGTGATTGGGGCGGAAAAGGGGGGAAAAATTTTTTAGCGGGGAGGAGAGGGTTCATCTGCCCAAACGCCTTCGTCAATTTTCCCGCAACCCGTCTTTTGAAATTTTCCTGGATTAAAGGGGTTTGGGGTTTTTCCCCGGTGGGTTTATTCCCGCATTATTTTCCCAATTTTTGCACCTAGTGCCCGTTTATGGAAAAGTTTAGGGCAGTCCCCTCTAGTCTTTATCATGCATCCCGTTGCGGCGCCGGGGTTTGGGACGAATAAGGTTGCGGGGTTCCTTAAAAAACACGCACGGGAAATGTCAACACGGTTTGGTTTGGGAAAGTTCATAAGCTGGGTCCAGACCCCCCTTTGGAAAGTTTTTTCACCGTTTTGTTTCTCCGGGGGCCCGGGCAGCCACTGGAGCTTTCTGGGGTAAAAGGGGGCAGGTGCGGGAGAGGGGGTGGGGCAAGGGCGACGATTTGGGGGGAAGGTCGGGGGAAAAAAATTCTACTCTCCCCGTCGGCACTATTTGTTCATTTTCGGTTCAGTTTGGATCGTAAATTTTTTTTATCTAAAGACCAGGCCAGGGGGGGAAAATTTTTCTCATCCTCCGACTTTTTTTCCCCTTTAAAGGGGTTTTGTTTTAAAATTTTAAAATTTTGGAGGTTCCGGGAGCGGTCGATATGGCTTTCCCCATGGTGAATTCCCTGTCAGAAACATTTGCAGAATTTTGCCCCCCGATATTTGCCCCACTCTCATGTGAGTGGGTTTTCCCAAACTCCGACGAGTTTTCGAGTGGGGAAAACGATCGAGGTCCAGGGGGGGGTGGGCACGGGTAAGGGGTGCCTTGTGGGGGTAGACTGTAGCACCCCTCTGGTTTGGGCACCGTGGGCGTAAATTTTTAACATTCGGACCCCGGTTTTGGGGGCCCCTTTAGTTTCCTTTGTTGCGGGCGAATTTTGGTCTCACAAATATTGATGCGGCCGTTTGAATAGTTATTGTAAAATCGCCCTCATCTCGCCGGGAGTTTTTATTTTGGGGTTGGGTGGAATTTTGGGTTTCCCCGGCGATTCTGAAAACCCACCACCGAGTTATTTTCATAGTTTGCCCCCTCGGGTTTTTGAAGTTATTGGCGGTTTTTGTCGCCCCTGGGAGTTCCGCGATAACCGCCGCCCCCAAACCCCCACCCCCCCCCAGACGCCCAGGGTAAGATGGCACCTTTTTTTGAGGCATCTTCCCCTTTGACAGGGCTAATTATCCTCTTCTTGTTTTTTTTCCTGTAAGGGTTTTTTGGGGAAATTAGTTTTTTCGGGTTTCAATTTTATATTTACACTGCCCCTCCAAAGGAGATAGAAACACAGAATTTTTTTTGAGTGAAGTAAAGTTTTACCTCTAAAAATAGAAGGAGAGAAGTCCGAGCCCGAGGGGGGGGGGCGTGAGTTGGCGACGGAATGGATTAAATTTTTTTTCGGGGGGGGGGCCTGCAAAATTTAAAAACTTATTACCTCCCTAAATACACAAAGTTGCATGATCATTCAAAAAATAGTGATTTTAAATGAATATCCCAAGGGCCTGTTTTTATAAGCAAATGGGTATAGTTTTAAAGGGGGGTCTAACTGCCCACGGGGGTTGCTGGCGGCTCCGACACCCCGTGTTCATCCTCTTTCAGAAAAAAAATTCGAGTTGATTTTGGATCTCCGAAAAAGACGAGAGTGGTATGCCCCGGGCCCCCTGGCGCCGATCGACAGGGCCCGCCCCCCGAGGGTGGCGGAAAGGGCCCCGTCCCGCGGCGGCGCGGGGCGCGGGGAGCCCCCCCGACTCCACCTGGCGCGCACGTCGGCGCCACGTGCGACGGCCCAGCCGCCGTGCGGGGTGACGTCGTTTTGTCTGGTCAAAATTTTTTACACTTTTCACACAATTTCTAATTTTTAACATAAAGAGGAAAAAATGTTTATATTGAGCAAATTCCCCCAAACCGATCTTTTATAATTCCCCAAAAGGAAACCCCGCTCTTTTCCAGAGTAACAGACCCCACCTATGTTTATTTATTTTATTTGTTTTAGTAGGTGGGAAAAGGTTTAAGGGGAGACAAAAATTAAATTTAAACTGTTGGGGCACAAAATATAATTTAAAAAGGGTCCTAGCAAAAAAAAAAAGTTTTTCATTTTTAGAGCAGAAAATGGGTTTAAAACTTAAAAAAAAGAAATACTAAAAATAAAAAAATTTTAAAATTGGGTTTAAAAAACCTTTTTGTGAAAACATCTGTAATTTCTTTTTTAGTTTTATATCATGGTGGGTGATTTTATAACTTTTTAAGAACGGGGCGTTCATTTTGGAAAAGGCGAATTTTTTAAAAAATTTCAAAATTTTAATAAATTAAATAACCAAAAAACAGGGGTTTATTTTTTACTTTTAAATAACAACCAAATGGATTAAATGATAAATGACCTAGTTTAATTTGCTGTTTCAAATTTTTATAGGGCCCCCATAGGGTTTTCTTATTAGCTTTGGTTTGGGAAATAGATACCTTGGCAGAATTTCAACTAAATCCCCCTTTACTAATCCGTTAATGCCCACCAACACACACTTTCAATTTTGCCCGTATACATGTGATTCATTACTTTTAAAACCTGTCTAAAATTGCATTTTTAAAATATATAATTGCTTGTCTTTTAGGTATTCAAAACATCCTTTTTAAGGAGAGGCCAATGTCCAGCAGTGGACCTAAAAAGCTGTTTATGTTTGTCTTTTTTGAACCCAAAAGGGTTTAACAAAAAACCCCACTATGTAAATTTTTCTTACATTTTGTTTATTAAAAATAAGACCAACACAAAAAAGATTGAAATTTTTAAAAAACCCGCTAATTGTTTAAAAATTTCACTTAAACTGATTTTTACCTCCCCTTTTTTTTTTTAATTTTTTTTTTAACTCTTTTTTTAAAAAGGGAATTTAACCCTTTCTTGGGACTTCATCTCAAATTTTAACAGTTTTAGTGGTTTTTCCCCCTTTTGTCTTCTGCGCTCTGTCGTTGGCTTTCCTTTTCCCGGGTTTTGCAAAAACTTTTTCTGTACTTTGGAAAGTCCTTGACCTTGAGAAGTGGTTGGTAATCATAAAAATTGGACTGTTTCCCCCTCCCGACCCTGGATGTAGATGGTTCTTCGAAATTTCTGACATTTCCCGGGGTGTGAAATTTTTTGTTTTTAAAGGGTACATGGGTTTAAATTCATAAGGCAAGATCCATGTCATGGGGGTTTTAAAAAAACAATATGTCCCAAAACACACCAGGGGATCCAGTTAGGAAAACCCGCAATGGTTAAGGGAAACCCGTAATACTAAAAGGGACCTTTTAAAATTTATTAAAGTTTTAGATATTTTAAATATTTAAAATAGGAAAAAAGTAAAAAAATAAGGGCCCCAAGGGGTTGGTGTAAGGGGGGCCCGTGATAGCCTTTGGTCCATCCTCACCCAGGGGCATAGTTTCTTCACTGTCTGTACCCCCACAAACCCGAAAAAATTATATATTTTCACATCAGATCTTGCCTTTTGTATGCTTTTGAAAGTTAAGTCAAACCAACCCTATAAAAACCCAATTTAAATGAAAACATACTACAAAGGGATCTTGAATGAAAATAACTGTAAAATTACATAGAAATAAAAAAATCCCCGATTTATCATTTCCTCACAAACAGTTTGGGGTCCCCAATAACAAGCCCTCTCCACAGATGGTCTCCCCTCCAAACCCTTTTTTGGGTTTATTACGGAGAAAAAACGGCCCCCCGGCACATTTCCCTAACAACTATGGGAACAAATGTAAATTTGTCCCCCCTGGGACAGGTTTGACGTTCTTTTACCACTCTTTTGCAAAAATTTCCAAAAAAAAATTATTTTCAAAAACCCGAGGAGTCCCCAATTTTTTGGGTTTGGGAAAAAACGCAAAAGACAAATGGAGCATTTGTGGGGTTTCCCTTTGGGGGTAAACAGAAGCAAAAAACCCAAAGGCTTGATGCTCGAAGTAGTTGGTTTTGGCAGATCTGAAACGATCGGTGGCCCACCCCGAAGAATCACTGTCACTCTCGGAGTCCCGCAGTTTAGGGAGCGCGCGTTTACGTCGTGTGTCCCCGCGCACACAACAGAACTACCGCTGCTGTCGCTTCCTTCATCGCTGAGCACCTGAAATACACTTGTATTGTAGTAATGTTCAGGGAAACCGCATATTATCACATGTATTGGCTTGGTCAATCACCCTCAAATCTCTTTCTACGTGTCCCCGCCGTTGCGACGCCTTCGTCACTGTCTGAGCCGGAGTCTGAGGAAAGTCACCATCACTTTCTTGATCTTACGCTTGGGCCGCAAAGGCGACTCTTCACTACCTTCTTCACTCATTTTCCCAGTAAACAGTGTCGAGCAGTAGTGATCACGACACGAAGCCAGTTGCAAAGGTGTAAATGACCTCCGCCAAATTACATTTGAACAAATTGTATACAATTAAGTAAAATCATTCGGTTCTGGCAAAATTAAATTCATGCAGTATAGATTGCTTTCTTAGAAGCAATTGCCTACGCGTTATCCTAAGTTGAATCCCTTCCAGCTATTTTGACAGCAAGCGCTATCAATGGTCAAGCAGCCATTTTCCTTTCATCTCTTTTTTTATTTTCATAGTGAGGGACTAAGTCATTAAAATAAAACTTAAATAATCGATGAATTTATTTTCCTAATGCTACAATAACAATAAAAAAGTATTTTTACCTAAGCATAAACAATTAAAATAAAGTCATACACATGGATAGGCACAGATGAAACATTATGAAAACAAAAGTGACTAGAACTTTATATTTATTAAACAATATTTGAAAAAGACACTTAATAAAGCAAGTAATAAAAATAAAGTGAACGAAATAAAATAATACATTAACTTTAATATTTTCATAGACATGTTGAACTTTAATAGGCCGTAATGCCTAGTTTACGTGCGTGCCGAGGTTTGACAAAAGTCAACAAGCTCCAAGTCTTTACAAACGCTTGGATGCCATGTGTAATAGGCCGTTTATACGCATGGCGAGCCTCAACAAGTGTCCACAAACAACGGGGTGTTTGACAATGTGAGAGCTTAATCTTGATGTTAGCGGCAAGCTTAGATAAGCTTAAAGCAAGAAAACAAACTTTAGAAAACACACTCACGTTTACTCTATTTTCAAATACCTCGAGTGTGATTCTCCTTACATAACATAATCATCCTAGGGAAATCTCTACATGATCTGGAAAAAATGCTTAACGGTCTGGACGATTCTTTGTGAGGAGCGTGACTTGGGATGAACATTAATAAGACATAAATCATGTATAATAGGCATGTATCCCCAGGTTCCATAGAAGGTCGGGAAGATACTTTTTTATTGTAAAAGCTAATGAATTCGGTAGGAAAAACATATTAAACATTTTTCTCTACAATGCTTCATTCCGAGCTTTATTGCGAGATAACTGAAAAAAAAACATCATCCATTCTAACTTTTTTAATGGTCATTATGTTTGCAACGACCTTCAGTTACCGACAGAAAATCAAAATCATTTATTATTTGCATAAAACAGGTATAAAGGTGGTAGAAGATACATCATATAATACATGGGTACGCTGTAATATAACCTCTTAAAGGTGTGCAAATATTTAGACATAGATATTAGATATTAGACACAGACTTCAAACAGAATCGAAATGAAAACCTCTGGCAACCCAACTGAGTCTAAAACTCTAGTTAATCGATTCAGCAAAATGCATCAAGTTCAAATCACAGGAACATCAAGTTCAAGAGTTGGCAACATTATAGTAAAGTGGCGGATGTCCTGAGATTATTCGGTCAGGATTTGTGCAGTTTTCGTTTATTTTTATTCTATAAATACAATACATAAAGATTTTTTAAAAGAAATGACCGCTGAAAACGAACGCGAAATATATCATAAATTAGAAGCTATGAAAGAGATCAGGTATGTTGTGTACTATTCATTGATAATAATTCAAAATGCTTCGCACCTGTGGACTCGGATCAATAAACACTTGACACCGTTTGAAAAGTTTTTAATATTTAGTATTAACTCTTCGTTCTAGTAGTAGTATGCCCACAAACACAGAGAGTTGTAACTAGCCATAATTGTGAATGATAGGCATTTCAACTATGGGAAGTTAAACATTGCAACGATTAGATATTTCATCGTATCAATTAACCTTTTGTTTAGTTCCTTACTGCTTATCCCTCACTAAAGCTTCTACTGTAACAGTATTAACTTCTCTCAGTAAACAGATAAATAAACAATACCGTAATGTCGCACATTACAGAACAAAACAATAACCCTGGAGAGGTTGAAGCGAAGCCATCTTGAATGAAGTGCGTAGTGGGGACCAGGAGGGCCGCTGCTTGGCTCAGTACAAACGAGAAATGGAACTTCTGCAGCAGGAAAAGATGAGTCATGTGGAGGAATTGCGACAGATACACGCTGATATCAATGCTGTATGTTTTATTCTGTACAAGTAGATATTTGTGAATTGTGAACACTTTTTGGGTTGTGATATTCCAGTATATTTCTATCCACATCTGCTGTTATGAAGGACAAAGATTGGTTTTGTTTCTGTTATGTTTTGCCAAAACTTAATGTACATTGTTATATTAAGTGCTTATTGAATTACAAATTTATTTTTCGTTTATGAAAATTTTGATATCTAATGCAGTGTGATACTAATATTATTAATAATTGTAAAGCATTTTTTGACTCCACTTACAATTAAGTCAAACCTCAAACCTTTGTGAAATGTGTATCAAAATGAAAAATCTTACATAGTCCTTGATGTCAACTGTTGTTTCAAGGCACAGGTATTGCTATTAACTGAGACAAAATGTGGAGTTAGGCATTAACAGCTTTTATTTGTATCTGTATACATTTATTACAGTTATTTATCTATACTAATATTATAAAGCTGAAGAGTTTGTTTGTTTGTTTGTTTGTTTGTTTGTTTGAACGCGCTAATCTTAGGAACTACTGGTCCGATTTAAAAAATTCTTTCAGTGTTAGATAGCCCATTTATCGAGGAAGGCTATAGGCTATATATCATCACGTTAAGACCAATAGGAGCGGAGCACCAATGAAGAATGTTTCAAAAACGGAGAAAATTTAGTACTATTGAGAGACGCAGAAGAAGTTGCGCGGGTCAGCTAGTATATTTATAATCATTATGTAGAATATAATTCTTTTTCTCCTAATATATCTCATTTTCCATATGTTAGTAAGTTATTGTGTGTACCTATAAATAAAACGGTTTGATTATCTAAAATAATACATAAATCATAATGTTCTTTTCTCCCATAGTGGTGAGCGTGTGTGTGGTGTATGATGTGGGAGCTATTAATAACTGGGGTATCACTGTAGTAAGTTTGTTTACAAAAGTGTTGAACACAGATCTACCGTCAGTGTGTGGGCTATTGTTGGAACAATTGGAACATTTTGTAATGTTTATTTTCTCTGTCTGTCTCAGTCTCACCCACCGAGCTGGCCCATTCTCATTCAGCTCTTGTGTTTGTGTTTATGTTAGCTCCACATTCCTAGTCATTGTGCTTATTTTATTTTTATTCTAATACAATTACAATGAACCACTTGAGCTTCTTCTAATTTTAATTACGGGGTCTTGAATGCTAATCATAGATTTCAGATAAAACAATAAAATGTTTATATAATTAAAGAATTTGTATTTAAGTACATAATTAAGCTGGAACTGTTATAATATTGGTTAAATCATTGATTTTAAGATAACATTTGCTTCAGAAGTGTTAATCAACAGCCTTTAATAGTCCACTGCTGGACATAGGCCTCTCTTTAGAAAAAAGGTTTTAGCCTACTATATATATATTTGTGAGTTGCTTCTCTGATATTTAGAGCCTTCATACCCTATGATAATTGTATATTTATGTACTTGTTGGTCTTTCTAAAAATTTGATTTGAAAGTTGTTTTGAAGATGATTTTTCTCCTCCAAGTTCTATTATAATAATATGTATTATATCATGCCTGAAAAATGTTTGCAATAATGTTTTATTTATTTATTTAGCCTGTTAAACTGGGTGAGATCTAATCTTTATGACTGTATTGATTCGTTTGGCTATACAATGTCTCTCAACTCAGTGTGCCTTTTGGCAAAGGCCTCCTCCAATAGTTTCCATTGCTTGCTGTCTTGAGCAACTCTCCTCCATTTGGGTCCCGCAGTGAGTTTCAGCTCGTCTTCCCAGCGCATTTGTCATCCTCGACATCTCTTGCCAACTCTTGGATACTAATTTGTTGCAATTTGGCCCCACTTTTTTTGTATAGATCTCAACATATGGCCGGTCCATCTCCATTTTTGGAGGTCTATTTTTTTCCAGGATATCGGTTAATTTGGTTTTTGCTCTCAATTGTACATTGCTAATTTTATCTTGCCTTCTTGTTCCTGTCATGCTTCGTTCCATACCTCTCTGGCACTTTCCTAGTTTGTCTCTATGGTATTTTGTAAGGGACCATGTTTCACAGTCATAGGTGATGCATGGAAAAATGCAGGCATTGAATACTTTTCTTTTCGTTGCTATATTGTGGTCTTTAAATTTTATAATTTCCTTGAGAGACCAGTATCTTTTCCACCCATTAGCAATCCTCTTATTCGTTTCCTTGGTTGTTAGTCCTTCAGTTTCAATGAGTTCCATTTCTGAGTTGGTCATCAGTTTGGTTTTTGTTATGTTCGTTTTTAAACCCACTTTAGAGCTCTCAGTATTTGGAGTTTGGGTCATCTTCTCCAGTGCCTTTGGATTTTCTTCTAGTAGAACCAGATCGTCTGCAAATTTTAGATGGTTTAGTTTTCTTCCGTCTATGTTGAGGCCTGGATGTTCCCAGTCAAGGTTGCGAAAGACGTTCTCTAAAACTCCTGAAAATAATGTTTTAGTGCTCAATGATTTTTGTATCTCTTTTGTTAACAGTGAGTTAAACAAGTGCATTAAATCGCAAGTTGAATGCTGAAATAAATGTCGATTAGAGTACCCTTTTGATACCATAAAAAAACATGTGAGGGAGCAGTACCAATATTAAATATGTGCACTACCGTTTTTCAGATGGAGACGGTGATAAAGCAGACGGAGGAGAGCATGACGCGCAAACTTTCCAACGCGTCCCGGCTGCACGAGGACTATCGCCCGCTGAAGACCGAAGTGGATCTGCTGCGTAGGCAGTGTCTCGGCCTGGATCGGCTGCCCGACTTGCACGAGGAGGAAGGCAGCCCCATCACACCTGAGTATGACACACTCGCAGTGAACATTCGATAGTTCCAGAGAATCGAGAGTGCTGTGAGGTGAAGTATAATGGTTGTGTCCGCAGTCGGTTCCCGGCGCTGCCGGCGGGGGCGGGCGCGAGCGCGGGCCCGGGCGGGGGTGCGGGTGCGGGGGCGGCGGGGCCGGGCGCTGGGCTCGTTCCTGCCGCCCCGCGGCGCCGCGCAAGCCGCCGCCGCCGCCGCCTGCGTTCAGGTCTGCTCTCGACCAAGATTTCATTACCGTCTCGCTGAGGTTCGATTATGTTTTTTTTTGTTCTATTCCTCTGCGTCCTCTATTCCTACCGCATCCAAGCTGACTCTCCTCCGCATCTCACCACTTTTCTTTATTGTTTAAATTTTCATATTATTTTTCCTCTCTTATTTTCATTAATTTTAAGAAAAGTACGATAAAACTTAATAATTTTTGATAATCTTACCCCTACTGGAAAATGTAATTTGGAATTATGACATTTGTGTTGTTGTCTATTTAAATAATCTACATTAAATCCTTCCCTAATATCTGACGAAAAGTTCTTAGCAGAATACATTAACAACGATAACACAGTAAATTGGTTATACTTCTTTTTTCTATCAAATGAAGTTGAATAAACTTCCCTTTTTGATATGAATGAAGCATGATGACGCATCTCCAGCCTTATATGTACATTTATATAACCTTCTCAATTATAACAAAAAGATAAATTTCAATCAGAAAGAGAGAGAGGCCTATGTCCAGCAGTGGACTGCGATAGGCTGATGATGATGATGATAAAATTTCAATCTCCTTTAAATATTATATCATAAGCATACAATATTTCTTTCAGTGTATCATAAACCTGACTTTATACATAATGATATAAAAACCCTTTGAACATCCTATGATGATGTTCTGATAATGTTAAATCATTTAAATCAAACCTTTGGTTACATTAAGGTTCTCAGTTATTCAAAATTCGTAATATCTTTATTGATTATATGGAAAAGTTATGCGTGGCCATTATGTGCCATTGGTCATTAACCATTAGAAGGGGAAGTGTCGTGTACAGAATGTCGATATTGATGAAGTGAAGGGTTCCGATGTGATCCGCAGACAACAGCCGCCGCCGATGAAGTCGTGCCTGTCATGCCACCAGCAGATCCACCGCAACGCGCCAATCTGTCCGCTGTGCAAGGCCAAGTCGCGCTCGCGCAACCCCAAGAAGCCCAAGAAGAAGTAGTCGCGCACACACACACCTCTACGCTACCCTTATGTACATACGCGCCTGTGACAGGGAGCCGCAACAGTTACACACTCCATCGGCGGTTTGAAACAATTATGTTTCGGTAAATAAAACTGAAAGATATTTCAACTCGGGTTGCCTCAGTGGAAAATATTTTGACACGAAATGTGCCTCACGGTGTTATGTTATGAGAAAATATTAATCTAAATTATCATAAAGAAATATATGAAAACATTTGGAAACATTATTATTTCGAGACAAAAGAATTGTTTACAAAGCTGGTCTTTAGAATTATTAATAATTGTCAGACAGTTTTATCCGAAAATTTGGAAGTTATTATTTCTCTACATTTTATTTTGAAGCAAATAGCAAAAGTATATCATTTAATTGTAAAAGGCTTGTGTTAGCTTTAGTTGTAAACTACGTAAACAAATCCTGGAAGTTAATTTTAACCTATGTATAATTATCTATCGAAACGTTACTGTTTATGTATTTGAAGTTCGGATGACCATAATTTAGTGTGTTGGAGGTGGTCTAACGATGGAGCCAGGATCTAGATAATTGATGGATTCCTTGGACATGGTATAACCGATTTGGGTTTAATTTATGTCCAATAGATAGATAATGTAACTCTGTTATACTATTGAAAAAGTTTTTTGTGGTTTTTCACTCAAAACGTTTAAAATATCTGGTAATTATGTATTATTATATTTAAAGTATTATATTTTCTATAATGATAGTTCACTTATGTTTTTAGTTTGTCAGTTGTCGAAATATCAGTCTCTTTGATTGTGTAACTGTTGCAGGCGAACTCATGTGTACTACTAGTCAAGTCCCGTGGTTCACAACTGTTCATTGTTTTATGTAGCTGTAGTGTGGCGCCTCGTCCCGGTGGAGCCAGCCCCTCTTTATAATCGATATTTATTCGAATATTATTTAGAATCGATATTTATTACCTCAAAACACACTTATTTCGAATTACAGCAATAATGACTGACTACTATACTGTCTTCATCTATTGTAACAAAATAGTATTCAGTCAAGATCTTAGGGACCCTATTACCCTAACGTGCCCGGGGCCTATACGACATTGGATGAATCAGCAAGGTACACATTTGATTATAGTCACATATAGCCTAATTTGTTATGTATCATCCTTACAACTCAAGGACGGCTCTGGGGGTGTGGGTCTAGTTCTTAAGTACCATTTAAAGCAAATAATCGAATTGGACAATTGACCCTGATTGAGAGTAGAGCAGCTCCGCGCATGCAAAAGCTAATGAGCCATTTTTTTGTAGTAGTAACTTCGATTTATTAGAATTAAATAAGTTTTCGGTAATAAATATCGGTTATCGTTTGGAGATCTGGCAGGAACTAGGGCATCCCCAGCGATCCCGTGGCCCTCGGCACCTGCCAGGGTGTCCAATGGGAAGGCGGAGTCTACATACAACATACAAGTATATCAAACATATACCATAGATAATATAATTAGTGGTTCATCATTTTTCTTTTCATTAAATTTAGGTTTTTATCTACATTTAAAAGACAGCAGAATACTTTCAGTTTAAAGATAGCTGTACCTATTAAGTGTGGGTAGACAAGTGTTGTTGAATGCCATGAAGGTTGTGAATCAAGGGATATAATAATGTGTAAGTTGTGTTGTTCGCTCTCTTCGTGGATTGTGACATTCTCAATATGATGTAAATAGTTAGACATATAGTAATTATGTGAATGTAGATTTTGTACATAGCGATGTGTTAGTGTAAGTGGACGCGTAGTTACCTGCCGCCGGTGAGTTCTGCCATTAACTACTGTAAATAATATTAGAATAATGCTACAATAGTGCCAATACTTAATATTTCAATACATATTATAAAATATAGTGTCCAAACCGTGTCTCTCTGTTTGTTGGAACGGCGATAAACTCCAAAACTACTGAACGTATTATACGTACATTTTTCACTAATAGGCGGTGATTCAAGAGGTAGATTTAGACATATGATTCATGAAGTTCGATGAATAATGACAACAATTGTTGAAGGTGTCGATAAAATCGTAACCTAACAAAAATATGTAAAAAAGTTGAGCCGTCGCGGGACGCCTGGTAGATGCGACACGTCGCAATAGGTACCCATTCCCTTTTTTTTTCTTTTTTTTTTTTTTTTTTTTCCGTGCGGAAATCCCCTCGGATACCACCTGTCGGTGGCATGTCGGACTCGAACCGACTAAAACCGCACGCCGTCTCGGGTACTAATAGCCGGGGAACCAGGTATACCCTAGAAAGGAAGTCCCTGGTACCCCGACATACCTCGGGTCATCTACAGACGAGTAGACGACCCCCCCCCGTGTGGGAACCCCCCTGTTCCCGGTGCTTCCTGGAAGCGAGCGCGCTTCGCAACGCGCTTGCCGCCACCCCGGCCTGCTTCTGCTAGGGTGACAGATGGGAGGTACCCATTCCCCTAATACATAATTACATAATAAGGAACTGTATATTATGTTGCACCATTACAGGTAACCAGTCGTTTTAATCGGAGTAGTGGCAGATTAACCCTAAGGCAAGGTACTTGCCCAGGTGCGTACGCGCAGAATTTTTTAACATTATTAAAATATATGCCTAACATAAAAAGAATTGTGTCAGTAAGTATGCACATACTTACACAATATAAACAATTCTTTATTTCTATAGAGATGTTGAAGTTTGACATCTAGGGTTTATATGACATAACTGCCACTACTTCTTTGCTTTCCTTTTCTCATACACCTACGAAGATTGAGGCTAGGCGTGTACAGGCAACAGCAGCTGCAGTGAAGATTAATCTTTAAGTTGTAGTAATAGAGCTGCATTGTCCCGTCAATGGCATTGTACGGTGCACCGGTGTGGGTGGAAGGTTTGACCGCCCAGAATAACGCGCGTCTCTTGCACCCTCGGAGGGTAGTGGCAGAACTCTAAAGTGGAATTTAGAGGCTGAATGAGTGCGTAAGGCCGCTTGCCGACCCATGATGACTCTCGTCGTCCCGGCTGGAGGCTCCACGTACTGGCTTTTGGAGTAATGACTGTGTCACCTACCGATTGATTCAGATACTCACCGGGCACGGTTGCTTCGGTGAATATCTCAATCGAATTGGACGGGAGGTCACGGCACAATACCACCACTGCGGGTCCTAATGGGTCTCCTCTCAACACACGCTGAAGAACTGCCCCGCATGGAAGTCGGAGCTTCGAGTCCTGGTCGGACAGATCGGACGAAACTTGTACCTGTCAGCATTGATGCTGTGCAGTGCAGCAGTGGCGAGTAATGGGTAGCCGCGGTCTCCTTCTGCGAAGACGTTATGCTGCGTGAGATATTGAGCCCTCTATGAGGCATCTGGGGCTCGTACTGGGTCGGGATACTGGGACTCGAGAAATCGAGGACCAGAAACGTCAACTGGGTCAAATAGGGTCCTCGTGGAGGAGTGGAGGGAGGGAAAGACTTGGGTAACTAAGCACCGGGCACACCGTTATTGTGGACGAATAAGTGTACTGTCTGTGTGTTTTAATTAAACTTTATATCGATCAAAGTGTTTGTGATCAATTAGTGCGGAGTTATCCTTCTGATATACCTACTCCCATTACCTACACTAGTGTGTAAATTGGGTGTGTGAGAATAGTGTAAGGTACACTACAGTTGTCTGTTCAGGGCGAGGTGCCCCGTTATCGCTTTTCGGATTAACAGATTTCTAGTCTTCTGAGCCCAGAACCGAAGCTGGTTGAAAGGTAGTGGCAATAGTGTGGATGGGCCAGCAGCGAGTGTAGACGAGCCCCACTTTACCAGCTCTAGTGCGGTCTCGTTCCCGTGTGCATTGCTATGCCCTGTAATCCATTTGTGAAGTACCCAATTTGTTGAGGTTAGCTGCTCCAAAGCTTGTAGCATTCAAGTACTATGTCAGAGTTCACGATGTTGCCTTGCAGTGATTTTAGGACCGTCATGCTATCTTACAATATTCGGATTTTATAATCCTTTACGCCCCTTGTGCAACACATCCGCATTGAAACTGTGTTGGCCTAACGCTAGTGATAGATTTAGGTCTTGGGAGAAAACTCAGGCTCCAGTTCCTGACCCTGTATTGGAACCGTCCGTATATATTCGGACTTCGTTTATACCGCATTGATTTCGATCATTTTTATGTAATTGAATGTGATATCCTTTCTTAAAGATGTGTTGTTTAGGGATCCAGGGCCAACTAGTTGTTATATCTATCACACATTTAGTAACGTCCACTAGAAGCTATTAAGAATATAGTAGGAGCGATAGAGCTATGTAGGACGCGCCAATGAGATTCTTGCCTAGGGCACTCTTGATACTAGAGCCGCCTCTGCCTCCGAACCCTTTTTCTTAAAAGGTTGGGGCCGCCTTTTAAGTCTTCTACAGTTGCACTTTGATTTTTTACGCAGAATTACTGCCATCAGACTTACAATCTGAATACTACGCGATAACGAAGTTCTGTAGAACGACTGCCGTCGAACTATTAGGGTTCCAACTACGAGATACAATTACCACAGATGTTAATGCGCCAACCAGGACCGACGGCTTAACCTGCTCGCCGAGGTACGGACGGATCTCAATGTGTTAAGAATAATCACGTGGCTAGGATTGCTTAACTTTGCTCGGTTACCACTTAGCCACGAGCCTCACCAACGTCGACTGCCAACTTTATAGCATTTTTCTGCACTTATTTACTTAAAAAAAAGGGGTCGTAGCAATTTTCTTCACGGATTAATGTAAGGCTGGTTTGTTCGTAGCTAATGGTTGCATTACTTACATTGTATGTACATAGTATCACACAGAGGAGTGAGTGTCCCGCCGAGCCCTCGTTACGAAGTGTGTCGCGATTGTTTAACATAATCGACTTTCATACAATGCTTAATTAACAACAACAAAGAATTTGTTTGTTGTCAGGTACAAAGTTTATACAGATGTGCTGCGAACTCGACACTTAGTCACTGTTCTACGTGAATA